GAAGACAGGGTCTCACTTGCAACTGAATGTAGTGGTTCCACACAGCTCACTGTGGCCTTGATCCTCCCTGGGTTAAAGTGTGATCTTTTGTCTCCAGCCCTGAGAGCTGGACTGTAAGCGCGTGCTATCACGCGCAATATTGGTTTTCTTTTTTTTGGCAGACAGAATCTGCTTGTTGCAGGGCTGTCTGGAATGCAATGGTTGATCTGGGGTCTACCTCCTGGGTCTCAAGGAATTCCCCTGCCCGCATCCCAGTCAGCTGGGATTACAGGCGCTGCGGCATCATGCCCGTAATTTTGGTGTAGAGTGGGTTTACCATTGTGCCAGGCGGTCAAAAAAAAAAAAAAAAAAAAAAGGCAGTTATAAAATGTACACACACGATTCCATTCAAATAAAAGACAAAAAGACAAAACAACTGGCTGGGCGCAATGGCTCACATCTGTAATCCCGGCACTTTGTGAAGCTAAGGTGGTTGGATCACCTGAAGTCAGGAGTTCGAGACCAGCCTGGCCAACATAGCAAAACCATGTCACTACTAAAAACAAAAATTAGCCGGGTGTGGTGGCAGGCACCTGTAATCCCAGCTACTCTGGAGGCTGAGGCAGGAGAATCGTTTGAACCCAGGAGGCAACAGTTGCAGTGAGCCAAGATCAAGCCCCTGTACTCCAGCCAAGAACGAAACTCCGTCTCAAAAGGAAAAAAAAAAAAACTGAACCAATGTATGCTGCTAGACATCAGGATAGTGGTTAACCTCTGGGTAGAGGGTAACTGAAAGGGAAGACAAGATGGACTTCTGGGTACTGATAACATTCTGTATCTCGATCTGGGTCCTGCTTACAAGGGTGTATTAAATTTGTGAAAATATAGTGAATTCAGGATATCTTAGGATATGTGCAGTTTTCTACATATTATACTTCAGTAAAGATGTTTCATTTAATTAAAAAGAAGAAAGCCTACCCATTGGAATGAAGAGTCCACCATCTTCTATCTCTTCCTCAGGTTGGTGAAACAGAGTCCTGAGTGGCTTTTCTTGAGGAGAAGCACAAACATCTGGCTGGGTTGATTTCCTGGGCTGGCTTACTGGTTTTGCAGATTGGCTGCCTGATGGCAGTGAAGGTATCTCCCCTTCAGAATGCATTTGAGGTTTCCCTGAAGAATCACAAATATTGCTCCACACTTTGACCATTCTGAATCATACTCTGTTGTAGAATTCAGCGTCTTATTATAGTCTTTCTAGGTAGACAACTTCATGAATTAAGCATTTACTATACAAGCATTTTCTTTTCTTAAATCAAAGCTCAGATCCAATTTACTCATCTGTAAAGTCAGGGAGATAAACTAGGTAATTGCTAAGGTCTTTTGGTTTCTAACATGCTTTCAGTTTTGTATTTTTTCCTATGAAAAATCAGACTCATAACTGTAGAGGAAATTCCTGATGACATTTTATATAGATGACCATTAAAACCACATTTCATCAACTATAATTATAAAATGCCCTGACTTTGTAAATCAATTTGACAGAGCAGAAGAGTAACTGTCACCATAAAATTGTAAATATATGCTTCTGCAGTCCATTAGACAACTTTCTCACCTCAACACTTCATAAACACTCCCTTTGTCAGGGGAGTAGGTGAGGATAGCATTAAAAAGACAAAGAAAAACGGGGTGACGGTGCATGCTTATAGTCCTAGTTATTTGGGGAACTGAGCTGGGAGGATGGCTTGAGGCCAGGATTTTGAGGTTACAGGGAGATATGACTGCACCACTGCACTCCAGACTGGGCGACGCAGCAAGACCCTGTCGTGCAAAAAAAAAAAAAAGCCAGGTGCTTTTTTTTTTTTTTTTTTTTTTTTTAGACGGAGTCTCGCTCTGTCGCCCAGGCTGGAGTGCAGTGGCCGGATCTCAGCTCACGGCAAGCTCCGCCTCCCGGGTTCCCGCCATTCTCCTGCCTCAGCCTCCCGAGTAGCTGGAACTACAGGAGCCCGCCACCTTGCCCGGCTAATTTTTTGTATTTTTTAGTAGAGACGGGGTTTCACCATGTTAGCCAGGATGGTCTCGATCTCCTGACCTCATGATCCACCCGTCTCGGCCTCCCAAAGTACTGGGATTACAGGCTTGAGCCACCGCGCCCGGCCAAAAGCCAGGTGCTTATAGTCATTAGGTGGCTCATGACTATAATCCCAGCACTTTGGGAGGCCGAGGCAGGAGGATCACTTGAGCCCAGGAGTTTGAAACCAGTCTGAGCAACATATTGAGGCTTTGTCTCTACTAAAAATAAAAATTTTTAAAAATTAGGCTAGGCCAGGTGGCTCACACCTGTAATCCCATTACTTTGGGAAGCCAAGGCAGGAAGATTGCTTGAGCCAGGATCCAGGAGTTTGGGACCAGCCTGGGCAACATAAGGAGACATCTTGTCTCTACAAAAGTGAAGGGCTCTAAAATTAGCTGGGTGTGGGGATACACACCTGTGGTCCCAGCTACTTAGGAGGGTGTGGTGGGAGAATCACTTGGGCCCTGGAGTTCAAGGCTGCAGTGAGCTGTGAACATGCCATTGCACTCCAGCCTGGGTGTCAGAGCAAGATACTGTCTCTCTCTCTCTCTCTCTCTGTCTCTCTCTCTCTCACACACACACACACACACACACACACGCAAAGAAATATTCATGTAGTATTAAAAGTAGGCTGGGCGCAGTGGCTCACATCTGTAATCTCAGCATTTTGGGAGGCGAGGTAGGCAGATCACTTGGAGTCGGAGTTGAGACCACCATGGCCAACATGAATGAAACCTTGGCTGTAAAAAAAAAAAAACACACACAAAAATAAGCCAGGCATGGTGGCAGGCACCTGTAATCGCCAGTTACTTGGGAGGCATAAGGCAGGAGAATCGCTTGAACCTGGGAGAGGCAGAGCGTTCAGTGACGCACAAGACAGTGCCACTTTCACTCCAGCCTGGGCAACAGAGCAAACATCCATCTCAAAACAAACACAAACAAAAAAAGCAATGCTCTGGCAGCAATGGCTCATGCCTGTAATCCCAGCCACTTTCGGGAAGGCTCCGAGAGCGGTGATTAACCTTGAAGTCAGGAGTTCGAGACCCAGCTTGGGCCAAACATGGCAAAACCCCATCTCTACAAAAATTACCAAAAA